CGGTACAACTGCCGACCAGCCAAAAGGATGTATCGGCTGATACGCACATGAACTGAATTGTGCCATCGTACTTCGTGAGTTCACGACACTCCCGCCAGAAAAAAATGAAAGCAGAAGGAATTTAATAGAGCAATGAAATTACAGTAATTAACTGTGCCCTCACGGCATACGATTACAGTGGAGAAATTAGGTGAAAGAATTAAGTTCTTCAAAATTTGGCTTTCTGTCGAAGGGGCGACATGCAATGGGAGGATTTAGCGGAGGGTTTGTTTATGATTAATTATATGTATTGTAGCTGGAAATATGATGGCATGTCTTACAAATGACTAAATATCCAATCGACAAGCCAGGATTCCGTCTGTTGCTTGGGCTGCAGCCGACCTGCGTGGTCTTGCTCTCGGCTCGGCTGTTGCTGTGGGTGAGGTGTCGGTTGTCGACGGCGGAGCTGCTGCTGCTGCTACTGCAGGGAGTTCGTCGTCCATCACCGGTGGGGCTTCGGCCGGAAGCTCTTCGGCTATCGACGGTGGAGCTACTTCGAGGGGGTAGAGGCAGCTCAGCGGACGTGAAACGGTTGTTCCCGCAGCTGTGATGACACGCGCTGCCCTAACCTTTCCATCTGTCTCGCTGCGAATCAGTTGCGTGATCTTGCCCAGTCTCCAAGATCCCCTTGGTTCGCGCTCATCTTTGATCAGAACAACTGAGTGCACTGTTGGCTCAAAGATGGACTTCCGAGATTGGCAATGCCCGGTGTCGGACCGGAGGATTGGCAAGTACTCCTTCTCCCATATGGTCCAGAACGTATCCAGACTTGCCAACTGACACTGCCACGTGTGTAGCATCCCTCTGGCTGGATCTCGGTGTGGTGCAAAGTCGATGTCCTCCAGTGTCGCAGAGAGGATTGGAATACCAAGGCTGCGTCCGTTGGCAATGAAGTGGGCTGGCGTAAGTACCACTCCATCCAGGCTGTCTTCCCCACCCGGGACGTAGGTTAGAGGGCGCGTGTTGACGATAGCCTCCACCTCTGCCAACATTGTTGTATGTTTGCCCTGTGTGAGCAGCCTTCTGCCAATTGTCTTCCTCACGCAGCGCTTCACTACTCCAATAAGCCGTTCGTATACGCCACCCTGCCAAGGTGCGCATTCCGTCGTGAATCTCCATTGTACTTGCCGACTGGAGAGGTATTGCTGCAAAGACTCGTCTTTCAGGACCTCGCGCCATCCGATGTCAAAGGTGGTGGCAGCCAACCGAAACTGAGATGCATTGTCCGAAAGGAGCAGCTCGGGCACCCCCCGACGCGCTGCAAACCGTGTGAAGCAGTCAATGAAGCTAGCGGTGCTCAGCGATGGGATGACTTCAAGGTGGACTGCTCGTACAGCCAGGCATGTAAACAGGCACACCCACACCTTGGAGGGTTCGTCTTTGACTTGAACAGGGCCAAAGTAGTCAATGCCGACATACGTGAACGGGGCCGAACGAATCACTCTTTCTTTTGGAAAGGGAGGCATTGTCGGTAGAGCGAAAGCTGGACCTTCGTGTCGTCTGCATACTCGACATTGCTTCAGCACAACCTGAACCTCCTGTCGGCCTTGCGGTATCCAGACGGTGGCTCGCAGTTGCGTTAGCGTGTGTGCCGCACCGGCGTGGAGAAGGCGCTCATGGTGATGCAGAATGACAAGCTTCGTAAACCAATGCCGGCGAGGAAGGAGCGCTGGTGGCAGGTTGTCGATGCCCTTGCTGGCGTGGATCAATCGACCCTGACATCGCAAGATTCCGTTGATGTCGACGACAAGACCAAGCTGGTTCTGGAGCGTGTTCCTCTTGTTGTTAGCGATATCCAGTAAAGTACAGCGATACGTGGTAGCCTGAATTGATCGAACCCACATGACATTAGCAAGGCGCAAGTCCATTGCCGTAGCACTTGGTCTGGCCGACATACGCTCGAACAGGTTGGAGAACCAGACGTGTCGACAACTTTTGACATGATCCTGGTCATAGCACCATGTCAAAAGTTACCCATGCAACACTCAAGCTACTTTTGATTAGGAGAGAAATTTCCTTCCATTCGTCCAGATAATAAATTACAACAGATCCCAAAACTTCAGCGTGCCAGCCTTCCTATCTCGCTGTACACAATCAGCGGGCGCGAAGAAACTGCGCTGTTGCACCAACAGTGCGGTGGAATGGGGTGGGGAGGAGAGGAGATTGAGCAGGTGCCGCCAAAAATACACCAGGGCCAACATACACAAAGCGGGAGGTCAGGGGAAAATATCGTACAAAGCAAGTCCATCAGGCTGGGTCAGCGAATGCTAGGCGGGAAGTCAGTGCGTGCACTGCAGGGGGCAAAATAGCGTACAACCCTAAGCAAAACCGGTGCAACTGCCGACCAGCCAAAAGGATGTATCGGCTGATACGCACATGAACTGAATTGTGCCATCGTACTTCGTGAGTTCACGACAGGTGCCACCTTGTCCATGCCAGGAACATCACACAATGAACTGACCGCAGTATTTTGTTTACAGTGTTGGTTTCACAGACCCATACATTCATTTTCATTTAGTAGTAGATCTTCCAAAGGTAACTAGTGGATTGCTTTTGAGGAAATATCATGTTGACATGAAGGTGAAGTTGACATGCATGAAGCAGGGGGGTTGTTGTGCTATGCATGGCTGCATAATATTATGATGTACAGTTCTGGCCAGGGAAATCCAACCAACCTCATGAATTATAGTAGCGTCGCGTTCGAGTGCACAGAACAGTGTGTGTAGTGCTAGGCCTGCATAGCGCCCGGGGTGCTTTTCTATTCATGAAGTTGGAGTTCTCTGGCCAGTGCTGTAGCTGTGTAGATGTACCTACCGGCTTGTGGCAATGTTTGTCTGATACACAGTGGCCGCATGGCCGTGCTTTCGTTTGCGTTTGGCTCGTGTTCATTTTTCAGTTTGTCCAGTACAAGTACCTGGAGACGGCAGACTACTCTCTCGACCCGGAGAAGCTCGACATGGAGCTGTTTGCGCGCATGGGACAAGTGGAGGTGGTCTTCTTGAACCGCTTTGTGCAGGGAATGCTGGTGAGTGCTGTTGTGCTAGACGTTAAAAAAAATGGTTTTCATCATCCTACTGTCGTGTGCAGTGCCTCCACAATAGCTTTCTCTCCTCCCTCTTTCTTTCTTGCAGTTATTGAAACGGTAATAGTAGTGGATTGGATTGTGTATGTTGAAAAGGATCCTCCACTGGCAAGCGAATGCTAATCGATTGATTTTGAAAGCACCTGCTGAAACGTAGAGACTGTACAAGGTGTTTCATCTACTGCGTGCTCTTTGTACGTTTTCATATCATTACTCAGGCTTTTGTATGTATTGAACTATTGATGTCATTGCTCAGGTATTTGTGAAAGAGTTCCAGACATCTCAGGAGACCATCAATGCTGCCAAAGCCAGAGCCAGTGAAGCTGCAGCTGCTGGGGTAAGTTTGTTGTAACTGCTGCTGTTGCTGCTGCTGCTGCTGCTGCTGCTGCTGCTGCTGTTGCTGCTGCTGCTGGTGGTGCTGGTGCTGGTGCTGGTGGTGCTGCAGCTGGTGCTGGTGCTGCTGCTGGCATCCATAGGCATCCATTTACCAGTTTGGAGAATCCTTGAAATACAATGTCAAAGTCAGTAGTGCTGCTCTGAGAACCGTGTGTATGGCTAAGGCAGCTAATGTCCAGTTCCTTTATTCAATAAGAGTTTCTTTGTGCATACTGACTCCTATGCATTACTTCAAACATGTTAGTTTAAAAGGACGTGTACATTTATTTTGTTTGCTGCTCAATTGTTGGTTGTGCTGTGTGTGCCTTGGCTCTCTTCTCTTGCCCTGACCAGGCCGAAGCTCTGCAGCAGAATGCTGCCAAGAAGGTCAAGCTGGACGTCACTCTGCGCTCTCCTGTAGTTACTGTGCCGTCGGAGTCCACAGGCACCAGCTCTATTCAGGCCAATTTTGGTGTGCTCCAGGTCTCGAACAGCCTGCAGCTGACCGAGCACCTCAACAACGAGGGCATCATGGATCGTATGGTTGTCTCTGTCACTGACCTCAGTGTGAGCCGGTACGTAGAGTCTGCACTGCCCTGCTAGTTTGTCTCATCCGAACTTGATGCAACTGTCAAACCTGGCGGAATTAGCTGCCTAATTCAGCTGGGTTTTATTTTAATCAATCGCTGGTACTCTCACTGAGTGAATGTCAGAATGAGCATAAAGGCAAACTCCACCACCATGTAAATCTCGGTCTCGGCGGTACAGATTTTAGCCTCGAATTTGCACGCTGGAGTTGGGTGTACTGCGTCAAGGTGTGTTTCGCTTATCCGTCCGTATAGTCAAAACATCGGCAAGCTGTAACTTGTTCATTCTGTATCCAATTTGTACCATTTGGGTCTCAAAGAAGCAGGGAAGACCCATCTTTCCTGTGCAAAAACCTGGAGCACTGTATCATGCTCCAAAGAGAAGTTATAAGTCTCCAAAGTAGGGATATTTTTGAAACTCAGTTTTGCGTGGTGAATTTTTTCGAATGATCATGTTGCCCTCCTAAAACTCCTAAAGCTCCTCGCGATCTGTGGACTCAGTGATGTATGCCGACAATTTGCTAGAGCAAGCTGAGGACATTTTTCTCAATGCCTGGGAGACTACACAGAAGTTTTGGGGGTTCACCTGCCAGCTCGTCCATGGCAGAGAGTGGGTCAGGGAGTGACAGCTACTCAAAATATCACCCTTCTCTACGATACGATTCTACACTACAACTCCTAATGGCTCCACTCCGGCCTGATGCCGGGTGGGCTGCTCTACTGGCACTACATGTACTGGCTGTTATTCTTGCTGAGAACTGACATACCTGCGGTTCTCTCTGGTCACGCTCCACGACGAAGGAGAGTTTCAGCCAGAGCGGGGAAAAAAGCTGCTCTCGCACTCAACTTGTACCGGGGAATGGCAAGGTGCTCGTATCTGCCCTCATATAATATATAGAATCACAGATTTCTTATGCAGAGCACCCGTTAAGTCTTGTTTTGCTGTGTGTGTGCTGAATGTGAATTGTCGTCCAACCAGTGGTACTCAGCTGTCTTCCGGCAAGGTTATCCGCCGAGCTCTCCTCAAGCCAGTTGACATCAAAGTGGACATCAACAGGTGCCTGACACCGGGAGACTTTGGCTTGCCGGAGAATGACATTGTGGCCAAGCTGCCGGATGTCCAGGTAAGCGAGGTGCCATGGTTCTCTTAGGCAATGGCTGCTTTTACACAGTGTAACTTGGCACCAACATAGAGTGATGATCGGCTACCGTATCCTTTGTGTCCTTTGTTAGTTCCGGGAAGGAATATCTCCCGCTGTACGCAGCTTCATCTTTGGATGTATGAGCTAAGGAAGAAAGAGGCGTTGAGGGGAATGAGGTTGAGCCCTTTATGCACGTACAAACTTTTCAACAGCTTACACTTTTTGGCATTGCATAGTTATGTCCATGGTGAGGGCAATGAATGGGTGTATCCCCGCAGTATGTTTTCTGCGTGGGCAGCGTACTGCTGTGGGTCCCTAAGGTGCAGAGCCCTTTCCAATAACCTTGACTCACGACATGTCTGCTGGCCGTTGATTGTTCACCACCTCAGGTCCACATTGGTCAGACTGACTTGGGAGCTGTGCTGAAGATCGTCGAGGGCAATCTACAGGAGAAACCAGCCATCGAGCCCCAGACAGCAGCAGGTCAGTAGGCTTGGCTACTGGCATGTTTGAATTGAGTGCAGGCTCTCTCACTGTGTATAATTGTGTATGTTTCTTGGTCGCTTTTTACCGTGTGACCAATTGATTGTTTGTAAGCGACTTCAATGCTGGGGTCTTCACCAGGTATTGCCCAAAGACCAATAAGACGGGAGTGACCTGTACGCTCGCATCTCGCGTAAGAGTTATCCACACATCTTGTATACAAGCATGGCTAGGAAATCAAAGGTCCGTTAGTGCAGTCTCTCTCAGTTGTGGTGGAGATGGTGGTGTTGGAATTCATTTCATCTGATCAGCTGTTCTGGACTGTGTTCTGTACTATGCCAGTGCCCGCAGTACCTCCAACATCTCCTGCACCCTCCCGAGGAGCTACACCAAGCCCGGACAAAGCCAAGACAGAGCCGGCGCAACCAGAACCCACACAGCGTAAGCATTGTCCCCCGCCACACTCCATTCATATGAGGGTGTGACTGTGCGTGCTGTTGGAATTGTTCCAATGCACCATCTTTGTAAATCTAACGTATTGAGTAGGGTGCTAGTCACTTGTCTTCCACTAACATTCACTAGGTTTTGTTATGTACAGAGAAAAGGACCTAGAAGTGACTAGTTATGATTATCAGGTCCTTTTCTCTTTACATATTACTATTGGCTCAACATCCGAGTTTATATTTGGTTTTGTTAGTTGAGGGTGTACGTTCCAATCCGTGTAGTCGAGGCCTCAGCAGCACAGCTTATCCCGCCTAACCTGCAAAATGGTGAAGGCTGGGTGAACGTTTTTTTGCAGCCCGAGTAGACAGGCTCGGCTCCCGTATTCATCACATCTTTGTTTT